CGCCGGCGCGCACTCTGGTATTGGCTGTTGAAGTGGGCGAGCGGTCCAGCAGCCACGGACAGCACGGTGCCGCCAGGCGAGCTGCTGTCGACCGTATCGACAAGCCTGTCGATGGCGGACGTCCTCGCCGACTGGGACGCGGCGCTCAGCTGCGCATTTTCTGCCCGAAGTCGCGCATGCGTCTGCTGGGCAGCAGTCAGCTGTTGCTGAAGCCCGTGCTGGCCCTGCTGGGAGGCCCGCGCGCGCCGCTCCGCCTCCTCCCGCTGCGCCTGCTCCTGCTGCGCCCGCTGCTCGGCGCGCTGGCGCGCCCGCTCAGCCTCAGCGAGCTCAGCAGCAGTGGGAAGCGGCGCCACCGCTGCTGGCGGCGGTGGCGGTGGAGGCGCTGGAGCGGTGAGGGCGAAGGCGCCGAGGTCGCCAAGCAAGTGGCGAACAGACACAGAGACGCGGGCGTGGCAAGGGGGGTGGGCGGTGCCAGCTGCAACGAGGGCGGCAAGGCCGCCCGCGCCAAGGATGGCCTGCTTGCACGCGTCGCTGCCGGCAGCCATGTTCTGCAGCGCGCCGCAGCCGTACTGCTGCACCTCCACAGCCGCAGCGTGAGCACGCATCGCCGCCACCACAGCCGCAGCCCCGCCCGCATCCACCACCGCCTGCTTGCACACGTCGCTGCCGGCAGCCATGTTCAACAGCGCGCCGCAGCCCTCCTGCTGCACCTCCACATCCGCAGCGTGTCCGACCATCGCCGCCACCACAGCAGCCACACCCGCCTCCACCACCGCCTGCTTGCACGCGTCGCTGCCGAGAGCCATCGTCCGCAGCGCGCCGCAGCCCCGCTGCTGCACCTCCACATCCGCAGCGTGAGCAGGCATCGCCGCCACCACAGCCGCAGCCCCGCCCGCGTCCACCACCGCCTGCTTGCGCGCGTCGCTGCCGACAGCCATGATCCGCAGCGCGCCGCAGCCGTGCTGCTGCACCTCCACAGCCGCAGCGTGAGCACGCATCGCCGCCACCACAGCCGCAGCCCCGCCCGCGTCCACCACCGCCTGCTTGCGCGCGTCGCTGCCGAGAGCCATGATCCCCAGCGCGCCGCAGCCAGCCCGCTGCACCTCCACAGCCGCAGCGTGAGCACGCATCGCCGCCACCACAGCCGCAGCCCCGCCCGCGTCCACCACCGCCTGCTTGCACACGTCGCTGCCGGCAGCCATGACCCCCAGCGCGTCGCAGCCAGCCCGCTGCACCTCCACATCCGCAGCGTGAGCACCCATATGTGCCACCACAGCCGCAGCCCCGCCCGGATCGGTCGCCCGCGCCATCCCCTGGCACGTTCTTTCTTTTTCTGCGCCGTTCGAACCGGTATCGAGCCTTTCTGCTGTGAGAGAGAGTTGGAATGTTTAAATTCCTTTTCTGCGACCGCCTTTTGTTGTAAAATTCTTTTTCGTGCCTTGCCTGTCGCGTGAATCGTGTTGTGCGACCGCCTTGCTTTCTAAAATAGGGGAAATCGCGTGCCCGTGACCCGTGCGACTCGATTCTGGGGCACTCTGCTGACGAGGAAACTGTGCGAGCTGCGACGTCCGACGAACGACGTCGACGATGTGCGTGTGCCGCGTGGCTGTGTCGGGTGTCGCATCGCTTTTCATTTCTTTAAACTCATGGCGCCGCCGCCGGGCGCCGGCGGGTAATATCTGTGAAAAGTGTGTGATCTGTCACCTCGCAGATCTCATGCCACCGTCCGCGGGCGGCGGCCGCGCCTCTCGCCGTACACAGCACAGATAGGGAGAGACCCATGCCCCCGCCGTCCCCGCCCGCACACATGCAGATAGTCAAATGCGGGGCGTCGCCCACCTCCTCCGCCCGCACGCCAGCATGGCTAGGGCTGCGGCGGGGCTCAGCCCTCGACGGCGAGCGCGACACGTAGCGATGCTCCTCCTCCCGGCGGCGCGCGCGCCCCTACCCGCGAAAGTTGGCCGCCGGCTTTGCCGCGCCGGCACGGCCCAAAGGCACGGCCAAACAGCGGCCCACGCGCGTGCGCCGTGTCCACGCTGGCTCACGCGATGGTTGGCTCCTCGTCGGCGAGTGAGGAGGAGCCCATGCTGACGGGCTTGCCCAGCAGCCGCAGCGCCGTCGCCTCTATGAACCTCTGGGAGAGGCCCGCCTCCTCGTACTGCTCGCCCATCGAGCCAGCCTCGATGTACTTGTCGGGCAGCACCATCGGCCGCGCCTTGAGCGTGCCCTCGTCCAGGAAGCCGCCCAGCGAGAGGTAGTGCAGCACGTGGTCGCCAAACCCGCCGATGGAGC